TTTCACATTTCCTTCAAAACATCTACACATTTTCTAAATTTTTCAGCATCTTTTCGCCGTAGTAACAGTAGTGACGAGAAAACTCAGCCATGTCTTCGTTCATTTGGTATGTGATTGGCTGTCGCAGTTAGATTTAATTAGTTTCGATTGGTTTAAATATATCCGGTTGATAACACGTGATATTTCGATGCCGAAGTTTCCTATCTAAGAAATGTTTATTTACAACTATCATGAAAAAACGTGATTTTTTTTCTTTCGTTTACTCTTTTTTTAATCACAAGAAGAAGAAAAAGAAGAAATCTTTTCTAATTAACGCTTCATTGTTCCTCATTCAGTGTTAAATTCTCGCCCATCGGTTCAACCACTTCAACCACTTCAACCACTTTATGATATTTGCACCCTTTATTTAAACTGTGTCCCTATCTCTTTTAAAAGATTGTGTGGATAAAATAATTGTAACCCATATATAGCTCGATGTGTCGAAAACAGAAATGAAAACATTCAGGTTATTAACCCTTATCTTTTGGTTATCACTACCATTTACTTTCTGTGTTTAGATTCTAAATTTCGAAAACAGACTTTATCGTTTGGAGGAAGGTAATACAGTAGTTCCTCATCTATCCACGGTTTCGCTTCCCTAGTTTCAGTTACCCGCGGTTCCTCAAACTCAGAAAAAGATAATTTATAAATTCTTTTTTGAACTATTGTTCACCCAATACAAAATTCAAGAGCCACTCAAGGTAGGGGGTTACTAAATGAGGTTGTCAGGACGTACAGAGAAAACGCAAGTGTATATTATGAGAATATGTAGGTTGACTCTCGACTTGAAGAGGTTGAAATTATATTGATCAGGGGAGCATCCTCTCGTAACAGTTCTGGCAAAGAAGCTGTCTGAGTGGAACTTCCTTCTTACCAGTGATATACAAAGGGAATGAGGATTAGCCGACTCAGTGTATGTGGTATGTCAGGTGTTAGCAGTAAAGTTCTGCAGTGATAGAACCAAGGAATGTCGTTCTTCCGAACATCCGCTATAAAAATAGCGATAGAGTAGTGACAGGTGAGCAACGTTTCGACTGTGGGAAAGTGGTTGTAGGGTGAAAGACAATTCATCATCCACAAGGCTGTGCAAACACTTTTGAAAACTGTCGAGGCTGGAAAGTGAGGAATGGGCAGCTTAATTGATTATGTTTTTTCGTGGAGTAATGGATAGCGGCTCGGATTGAGGAATCGGTGAGCCGAGTTCGAATTCCAGTCGAATCCATAGTCACTTATGTGCTAATACACTTGGGAAAGGTATGAATCCTCTTCTTCTCCCCCCCCAAGCTATGGATAAATAGCAGGACAGACCGGGTTCTATAGACTTGGATGGCAACTGGTCTACCACAGAAAGATATGGCAACCTACTGCGGAAAAAAATCTGCCTCGTCAGTCATATATCAAAAGAAACATGATCGCCTAAGCGTATATCACGTATGACACATAACTGACTGACAGGTTATCAATCTTTTGCAGGGTATTTAAGGCCAGCAAATATTTTTAGATAGTAAGAAATTTTAGGGAGATAATACTGATTTACTGAGACGAGGAGGATTCATACCTTTCCCAATGGTATTTGCGTATAAGTGAATATAATGAACCCGACTGGAATTGGAACTTCGCTCTCCGGATTCTAATTCGGAGCCGTTATCCATTACATCACCTGCACATGCATGCTTACACTACCTGTTATTCCCAAGCCGGTCACGCACCTATGTACTGACAAGGCTCTACGTTACTTAACTTCGGTAGATTTGGCAGCCAAAAGTGGCAGCAATACGCCATTGATGACCTAGGGTTTTCTTTATGTTATAAGGTAAAAATACTCGATTCAATAAGGAGAGAAAATATATTATGTTAGGGTTGCCAAGTATGTCATATAACTTTGCAGTTAGGTGAGTTGATTAAAAAGTCTTAAGAAAAGTCGGGAACTGCATGGAAAATTATACACACAATAAGGAAGTAGCAACTGAACTTCAGCGCTTAAATAAGGAAATAAGGAAGAAGAAAAGGATTCATGCCTTTCTCAGGTATAGAGCGGAATTTTCCTGCGAAAGTGAATGCAGCAAATTAGGCCCTAATTTGAACTCGGTTCGTCGATTGTACTAGCCGCACCAATAGCCGTACCAATAGCCGTTTCATTAACCGCACAATAGACATTTCGTAATAGAAAATGTATTTCCGCATGCATCTGCAGAGTTATGGGTTGGTTGTTCGTTTCCGTGTACATTAGTCTGCTTGTGTGGCTAACTAATCCTTGTTGCAGATACCCACTCAAGTGTATCTTTTACACCCCCAGAGCCAAACTCCTTTATGCAGCAACTATGCTGAACAGTTCTTCTGGGAGAGAACACATCATCTAGGGTAATCAGCAGTTGAACAAGGCTTAGACACTCAATCCCGATATTTTGTGAGTCCGGGTGCTAGTATAACCATCGATAGATTCACTCCAAGCCGCTATCCATTATTCCACCGTGCCTCCTCCTCCTCCTCTCTCCTCTCTCTCTCTCTCTCTATCTCTCTCTATATATATATATATATATATATATATATGTATATATATGTCTGTGTGTATGTGTGTGCATGTGTGTACATATATATATGTTTGTATGTGCGCGCGCGTATGTGTACGTTTGTGTTGGGAGTTCGAATTCCAGGCGGGTTCGTTACATTCACTCACACGTAAATAACCTTGGTAACAGTATGAATCCATTTCTTCTCCTCAATCTATGGGTTAAATAGCAGGACTGTGCCTAAAAAAATTATTCTCAAACAGCTGTTAATGCAATATTCATTCTCAAAAAGAAGTATTATTTATAAAATCAAAAATAAGAAACGTCTTTAAATAACCCATAACGGGTTGAAAAACCGTAAAAAAAAACAAATCAATGAAACAATATGTGTGTTATAGCATGTGTTTGTGTGTGTGTGCATAAAAGTGGACACAAATATTTGTGCCAGTAAATATATGTGCATATAGCAGAGCAAAGAATTATTTTATTCGTTATATGCTGCTAAACTTGCGTATATATTGCAGTATGTTGTTGAACTTTAATACGATCATACTTAATTGCTATTGTATATCTTGGTTTGGGTGTCTGCATGTGTTCTTTTGCATATAAGCATATATTTGTGTCTGGTTATGCGTGCGCCTGTGTGTTTGTTTGCAAGCATCAATATTTAAAAGTCTGTGTTTACGAAGTCTAAAATTCATGACAGGTGTCCCAGGACTCAAAAGTGCCAGACGATTGCAGAAGTAATGAAACCATTTCCGATTCGCTAAACTCGCGTTAATAGCGATGAAAATGGTACCAGAACGTTTTTAGGGCGAACGGAGTGAGTGTTGTGTGGAAGAGTTTTCACAGGAACCTTCCCTCACCCACCTCGCGCCTTTTTCCTTCTTCTCTCCCCCCCTCTCTCTCTCTTACTATCTATTTTTTCTTTGTTGCTTTCTCTCTCTCTCCCTCTCTGTGCTTCTCACTATCTTCTCCTTTTTGTTGCCTTTCTCAAACACTCGCTAACAATTTATATCGGTTGCTTTCTCCCTCTCTCCCACTCTCTCTCTCTCTTTCACACACTTTGCTTTCTCCCACCTCTTGCATTCATATCACACACGTCATTCAAAATAACTATTTTATCATTAACCCTCTGAGTGACTTCGAGCCTTCCATTTTGTGAACCATAGTATTATAATCTCTCTATAATCCATACGATCAACTTCTTTCTTTGCTTTCTCTCTCTCTCTTTTCAGTCTTTCTCTCTCTACACTTTACTAAGACTTTCTTCTCCCTTCTTTTCTCTTTCGCTCTCTCTGCTTCTCACTGTCTAGTTTTGTTTTCCCTCTTTACTTTTCATAAATTCTCTTACTTTCACTCTATTACGCTTCACTAATTCTTTTTTTGGTGCTTTCTCACTCAGTACATCTCGCCATCAATTTCTTCTCTCTTGCTTTTTCTCCCACTTTACCGTTCACTGTCTATTTTTTTTTCTCTTTTGTTATTTCTTTTTAGTCTATTTCTTCTCTTTTCTTTCTTTCACTATTTGTTTCCTCTCTTCTCCCCCCCCCATTATTCTCTGTTCATCTTCCTTTTCTTTTCAATCTCATTTTCCCTTCATATTCCCATCTCTTTATAGTCTCCTGAGAAGAATGGACCCACAGAACTCAACAAAACTAGGCGTCGCTGCAGCTGTGTCCGTAGCAAGTAAGTTTTTACAGGATGAAGTTGCTAACCTCAATGCCTAACCGTTTTTGAATTCAGAAATTTCCTTCTCCAAGAATGATTGCCAACCAACTCGATGTCTCATTCCGAGCCGCTACCTATTTACACCAACCGCGAATTTCTTTATACACCAGCAAAACCCTGAATATTTCGTAGAGTTAAGAGAGACAAAAAGACAGACCCCGCAAGTTTGGAAGCTTCGTTCATATCATTTTTTTTCTATTCTCATGGGAGTTTCAAGGAAATGAACCAGTGAATGTTTTATATACATGTATATAATGGATTTTATTGCTAACTTTTTTTTTAAAAAGGTTTTAGTGACACAATTATGTATTTTTCAAAAAAAAAAGAAACAGTTAAGTTGTAAACAATATGTTCTTTTTATGTGCCGTGTTCTTTCCGTTGTATCGCTTAGTTTTTTTTTTTTACTATGCTTCCTATTCTCTGTTCAGAAACTCGCTAAGCAGGCTACTCACTATTTCATGATTGATTGATTCGTTTTGTACACTTTGCTGGTTATTTAAAGCTAGAAAATATTTTTGGATTGTAAGAATTTGCTTTTTTTTTTCCAGATAATAATGATTTAATGATACAAATCTTACTAATTAACCCATATTTGGGGGTGGGAGAAGAGGTGGATTCATGGGAATCTGCGTGTAAGTGAATATAACGAACCCAACTGAAACGAGAACTCGGTACCCCGATGAACAATTCTGAGCCATTGCACCAACCGCACATCCAATCTTACAGCACCTCGTATTCCCAAGCGGTCACTCATCTAGGGAATGACCAAGCTCGATGCTGGTTAACTTCGGTGATCGTACAGGAACAGGAGTTTTAACGCTATACAGCTTTAAACTCGATGTTTCAATCTATCTCATTATGAGTAAAATTCTCCAAGCCTTCTATGCTCATTATGTGTCCTCAAAATTTCAACTGTCTCGTTCTGGTTTTAAGTATCTGTTCTTTTTTCCATTTTCTCTAAAACTCGTTGCTGACAATGCTCCGTCTATGGTACTATCAGCATGCTTCTTTAGAAATGCATCTCTGTTTCTTCAAGGCTTCTCTTCAACTGAGAGGAAATTGCCCAAAATTGATATCTAGGAATGATATCATATAGAAGTTTAGTTGTTTTTTTTCATTAGCAAAGAAATACTGTATATACTTGTGTATAAGAATACTTAATTTATAATGCGACCCCTGAATCTTCTTGTGAAAACCCTGATTTTCTCATATAGCACGTGTATAATGATATCACTAGTAGCGGCACCGTAGTCAAATAATGCGGTACTGGGCATCATCCTGGACATATTTGATTATATGATTCATTTTTTGTACTAAGCAACCACAGAATGGTGAGAAAAACCACTTACCATAAAATATCTGATTCGAAAATTTAGATATCGTACTTTTGTTTTCGTTCATGCCTGACCAGGTAGGTTACGGTCATGCATGAATTTTAACCCCTTCAGAAAAAATTACCTTTGTAATGTGCAACCAGTCACCGAAAATTCATGCTTTTTAACCCCTTCAAAAAATTACCCGTGTATAGTACGACCCCATGTATAGTACGGCCCCTTAAATTTTGCGTAAAAAACTTAGTGCAAAAACTCGTACCCATGTATACAATATACCACTGAAATTTAATTATTTCGGTGATGTAGCATTCGGCGAAAAAGAGTGTGACACAGATATTTGAAGGTGCGTAGGAATAGCGAGAGATGCTTTACAGAAACTAAATAAAATATTAAAAGATAGAAACAAAGGACAGTGTGTTTCAGTGCCATACAACATCTAATCTCCTATATGGCAGTGAATGCTGGATAATCTCCTCACAGATGAAGAAGGGGCTTGAAACAACAGAGATATGGTTCTTACGAAAAATACCGAGAATACCATGGACTGAATATATAAGCACCGGGGAAGTTTTCAGGAAAAATGAATTACAAGGAAAATCATATTTACAATGAGAAAGTAATAGCTGAGCTTTCTGGAACACATAATGAGGAAAGAAGACTTGAAACATTTAACACTCACATGAACTACAGAAGGAAAAAGAAGGAAAAGGAAAAATTTAGTAACCTAAATTAATGATGTGAATTAGACCAAGAAAGATAAGAATATGTGGAGAGCTATGATCGCCCAGGTCCTTAAAGAACATGGCACATTTCTTTTTAATCATTTCACAACAAGCAAGGCAAGAAAGCCACTAAGACGCAAGGTGTTACTTAGTGTTAGAATGTGAGAAAAAACACTATTAAGAAGAGAGAACAATAAAGGAAGAAGAATTAAAGAACGATTGGCATTGCATTTACATGTTTGAAGATCAAAGTTGACTGAGAAGCAAGATACTTAAAGCGAGTTCCACAAGCGATAAGTGCGATATAAACAATATTAAAAGTAAGGTAGACTTATAAATATATATAAGAACCAAATTTCTTAGCAGCAGATCTAGCAATTGATTCAATATAATCTTTCAACTTCATGTCAGTGGAAAACGTTAGTCCAAGGAGACACAATTAGTCACTGTCCTGGAGTTTAGCATCAACCATGTTGATGGAAGGTAAAAAAGACGATTAAAAGAGAGCAGTTTCGTTTTGGGGCGTTAAAATTAACAAGTCATTCATTACCCTAGTTAACAACAGAATATAGGTCATTTTTTAAAATCTGTTGCCAATTTGAACTCATCGAACCTTTTAGACTTACTATTAATTGATTATATAGGCCCCATATTTTCAATCAAGTTAATCTCCTATATTATAGATTAACCTGATTAAAAAGTACATGCACTTTTCCTCATTCAGTATGTCTGAACAGAGAAAAATCAAGATGTATAGAGTATAAAAATCACAACAAAGTGGAAAACTCTCTATTTTGCTGTGGT